GGTGCCCGGGGTCAGGATATCTCACCTGGGCTGCAGAGGAACTTGGAGTGGGACGGGAAAGATCCAGTTGTTGTGGTCCACACAAGTACCAACAGTAGGGAGAGGAAAGAGGTTCTCCTGAGGGAATATGAGAAGCCAGGGGCTGCATTGAAAAGCAGACCCAAAAAAGGTAATAATCTCTTGATTACCACCTGAGCCACAAGCAAATTGGCACAGGGTCAACAAGATTAAAGAGGTAGGTGTATGGCTCAGTGTGTGGTATGGGAGAAATGGGAGTGAATTTCCGGGACATTGGCACCAGTGCAGGGAAGGAGGGAGCTGTTCCAATGGGATGGGTTCCACCTGAATCATGCTGGGACCAGAGTCCTGGCAAATCGCATAAGTAGGGCAGTGGGTAAGGTTTTAAAGTAAATGGGGTTGGGGGTGGGGGTTCATTTGCATGAAAAATTATGGACAATGTTATAGGTGGTAGTGGGGTGGTGAGGGGGGGGTGTGGTGGTGTGGTCAGCAGAGGTGATTAAAGTTTCCAGAATAAGTAATAGGTCAGAGTCAGGAATCTAACTTCAGGCACACAAATAAGGGGACAACTATGAGAAGGGAGCAGCCAATGCAGGACTGAGGGTGTTGTACTGGAATTATCTACCCTCAGGCGACTGTCTGTGTGGAGTTTGCACATTCTCCCCGTGTCTGCGTGGGTTTCCTCTGGGTGCTCTGGTTTCCTCCCACAGTCCAAAGATGTGCAGGTTAGGTGGATTGGCTATGCTAAATTGCCTGTAGTGTTCAGAGATGTGTAGATTAGGTAGGTTATAGGGGGACGGGTCTGGGTGGGATGCTCTGAGGGTCGGTGTGGACGTGTTGGGCCGAAGGACCTGTTTCCACACTGCAGGGATTCTAGGGTTCTATGAAAAATGCAAAAGCTTCTGTAATTATGTGACAGGGAAGAGAGTAGCTAAAGTGAATGTAGGTCCCTCAGAATATCCCTTAGAGGATGAGACTGGGATGGTAATAGTGGGCAGCACAGAAATGGCAGAGTCACTAAATCAATATTGTGCTTCAGTTTTCACAGCATAGGACACCTGCACCAACCCAACAGTAACACATAACATGGAAGGAGGAACTCTGAACAATCATCACCAGGGAAAAGTATTGGGCAAATTACTGGGATTAAAGGCAAACAAGTCTCTAAGACTGGATAGGGGTCTTAAAGCAAGTATCAGAAGAGATACATCCATTGGTAATGATATTCCAAAATTCCCTGGATGCAGGAAAGCTACCAGTGGATTAGAAAAATGCTAATTTAATACCCGTATTGAAAACAGGAGGGAGGCAGAAAGTAGGAAGCTTGGTTTAACATGTGTCATTGGGAAATTGTTCAAACCCATTATTAAGGAAACAATTACAGGACATTTGGAAAGTCAAAATACTATCCATCAGAGTCAGCACGGTTTTATGAAGGGTAAATCATGTTTGACTAGTTTGTTAGAACTCTTTGAAGATGGAACAAGCAATGGGGATCCTGTAGACATAGCAGGAATTAAAAGGCATCTTATTATCTAAATGGAGAGAAATTTCACAGCGCTTCACTGCAGAGGCAACTGGGTGTCCTCATGTATGAATTGCAAGAAGCTAGTATACAGGTACAGCGGGTAATAGGGAAGGCAAAGGGAATGCTGGTATTTGTTGTGAAAGGAATAGAGTGTAAAAGTAGGGAATGGCTGCTGCAACTGTACAAGGCATTAGTGAGATTGCACCTGTGTATTGCAATTCCCTTATTTGAAGGGAAATTCGTTCAGAGGAGGTTCACTGGATTGATTCCTGAAATGACGTGTGTCTTATGCAGTTTAGGCCGATATTCTCTGGAGTTTAGAAGAATGAGAGGTGGTCTAATTGCGGTATATAAGATGCTAAAAGGGACTGACAAAGCAGACATTGAGAAGATATTTGCCTCACCATGAGGAATCTAGAATGAGAGTTGTCGGAAGTGGGCAGGAAAGTGGAGTTGAGGCCAAGTTGAGATCAACCAGATTCATACTGAATGGTGGAGTAGGCTTAAGGAGCTGACTTGCCCCCTCCTGCTCCTAGTTCTGAAGTTCTTACTAATACTGTGTTTTCTAGTCAGCAGTGCACAGCTGAGTTCTATGGCATTGCCAACAGTATTAATAGAGGTAGTCCTGCTGAATGCACAATGTAAGCAAGCACAAAGATAGCAGCTCATGACTTAGTACAGCTGGAGCCAGAGCGAGACCCCCCGGAATCTCAGAAGTGAGGTGACTCAGCGAACAGAGAGCAGGTGCTGTCACAGAGCATCATATGATTATTTGGATAGAAATGGTATGTACAGAGATGTAGAACACATAGGAGATTGATACTAGATAATAAACAGTGGAGGCACAATGGCCCAAGCGTCCACCTTCTGTACTGAAGGATGGGCGAGCAAGCTGGCTACAGCACTGTGATACAGGAAACCATTCATGGTGGTGTAACATAGGGACAGCAGAAAGGAGAGAGTTAAACAGTTCTCAGCAGCTGAGATGGAGCAGTGTTGCCCACTTAGTGCCAGCCTGAAGGACATTTCATTCGGGCTGAAGAGCAACAGCCCATTTAACAACATCACCACATCTTTGACAGTAAGTGCCTGTCTAAAGTTGACTCAGGATAATATTGTTTTATTCAGCAGGTTTGCAGTATCATGTTCTGAAGAAGGGTCACTGGATGTGAAACATTAACTCTGCTTTCTCTCCACAGATGCTGCCAGACCTGCTGAGTTTTTCCAGTAATTTCTGATTTCCAGCATCCACAGTCTTTTTTTTTGTCACTATCTTATTAATGTTAACATAAAACAATATTATCCTGAGTCAACTTTAGACAGGTACTTACTGTCAAAGGTTTCCTGCAGTGGCCTGTCGAGGCTGGGTCATTAAGAATATTCAAACCTAAGACAGACAGGTTTTTAAAATCAGGAAGGGAATCAAGGGTTATGGGGAAAAGGCAGGAAAGTGGAGTTGAGAATGATTAGATCAGCCATGATGTCATCAAATGGTGGAGCAGACTCTGTGGGCTGAATGGCCTACTTATGGTCTTAAATGCCATTTGGAAATCTAAGTATACGTTATCTACCAGCTCCCCTTTGAGGGGTTGACAAGCATTTGAATAAAGAACTCTCATAAATAGATTAACATAATTTTCCCTTCACAAAATCATGCTGGCTTTGCCTGATCTCATGACAATTCTTTTGAAGTACCCTGTTATAATTGGCTTCATAATGGAGTGAGCACCTTGTGTGGCAGATGGGAGTTCCCTGCTTTGTCCCCCTACTTTTGGCAATCAGGTATTCTCCAACCTGCTGGAGCCTGTGCAGAATCTAAAGCATTTTGGTGAGATTACTGTCTCTGCAGCCACTTCTGTCATAAGCTGAGGATGCAGAGTATCAGGTCCCAGTGTCATGTCAGCCCAGGGTAATAACTCCCCCATTCCCTGTCCCTGCTGATTAAGCCAAGTTCCTCCCTCCTATTCACCTCTTGATTTTCAAGTGTCTGTGGGAAACTTTCAAAATCCTCTTCAGTGGTTTCATTCTCAACGGCCAACACTGACCACTCAGAGGGCCAACACTTGCTTTAGTTACTCTCTACGTCTTTCATTACAATCAGATCAACCAGATTCATACTGAATGGTGTAGCAGGCTTGAGAGTCTAAACTGCCTCCTCCTGCTCCTCTTTCAGATGTTGCACAGAGCAAGTGCGGCAGTTTGAGCGAGAGAGGGAGAAGCACTGTCCTGCTACTGTCACACTGCGTTGAGAATTGAATCGTTCAAGGTGTGGATTCAAGATCCCTGTGCTCACTTTAAAGGGAGATTCCTGATCCCCGTGCTCATTTGAAAGGGGCTTAGTTTAAACATTTCCTTCTGCATGTCCTGTTCTGAAATTCGCCCAATGGTGATGGCTAGCACGAGGGGACATAGCTTTAAATTGAGGGGTGATAGATATAGGACAGATGTCAGAGGTAGGTTCTTTACTCAGAGAGTAGTAAGGGCGTGGAATGCCCTGCCTGCAAAAATAGTAGACTCGCCAACTTTAAGGGCATTTAAATGGTCATTGGATAAACATATGGATGATAATGGAACAGTTTAGGTTAGATGGGCTTCAGATTGGTTTCACAGGTCGGCACAACATCGAGGGCCAAAGGGCCTGTACTGCGCTGTAATGTTCTATGTTCAACTCCAGGGTCTCAGGTAAATGCCACACCTTGATGAAGTTGCTGATTTCCTGGGAATTGGATCTTGGATTACAGTTCACAGCCCCCATCCTGCCAGATCAATACTGATGGTCATTATCTGCAGTGTTTCCCTCTCCATCAAACCTTTCTGTAGGTCTGACCCCCGAATATGCCTTTATATCCCATCCCACTGCTCTCTCGCTGTGCCCATGCCCATGCCCTAGCCTGTCTTCTCTGCAGTCTCACACCCGATCTCATCACCCACTGTCTTCCCCTTTCCCCTGACCTCCCCCCTCTACTCCATCCCTGCCACTGACCTGAGCTTTCTCCACACCAGCAACTTTCGTTCCCTTCTTCTGGTCTTTTCCCTTTCTTCGTTTAGCTTTTGAGAAGCTGAAAGAGAAAAAATACAATTCAGAGAATTAACCGCTGACCCTCAAACAAATCACAATCCTCCCCATCCTTTCATGGTTTGATGAACTGAACTCCCAAACACCCTGGGCTCCAATTACACAGCTCCAGCCCCATCCAATCCCCTGCCCAAATACAGCAGGTTGGACCTGCTCCACACACCTTCACAATACCCACTGGCCAAGCTCAGCTAATAGGGATGGTTTCCCGAACTTGGTTTAAAGGAGAATAAGATCCCCAATCCATGATTTCTATTCAAAGGGGGAGATTCCTGATCCCCCAGTCCCATTGAAAGGGGGAGATTCCTGATCCCGCAGTCCCATTTAAAGGGGGAGATTCCTGATCCCCCAGTCCCATTTAAAGGGGGAGATTCCTGATCCCCCAGTCCCATTTAAAGGGGGAGATTCCTGATCCCTGAGGTCGGGTGAAAAGGGACTGACAGTCCATAGTTTAAACATTTTCTTCTGCACATCCCATTCTGAAATCCGCCCAAATCCAGGGGCTCAGCTGAGTGCACTGATTTAACGTTATTGTCACACATACCCAAATGGTTACAGTGAAAAGTTTAAACGTCGCCACTTACAGTGCTAACTTAGGTACAAAGGTAAATAGGTACAACCTTAGTTACAGAATACAGAAATGAAGAGAAAAATGTTACATTACAGCTATAAACAGCATGACCACAGGACAGAAAAACAAGCAGCCAAGTTAAAAAGACAAACATCACAGTGAGTGTCATACCTTTGTGAAGTTGCTGTGATCTCCTCTGCTCGAGTCTCTTGCTGCTGATCTATACAGCGTGAAACTTCCTCTTGCTCTGCCGAATGACAGTCTGGTTTCTGGGCTTGATGCAGTTTGCAGCTGTCAGCTAATCTCACCTCCTCCTCCACCACTACCCTGTTCCTGTCCTCGGAGTGAGGGGTAGAGCTAGTGATGCTCTGGGAGTCTGTGGCTTCAGGGGAACTCTCACTGAAGATCTAGGACAGAGCACAGAGTGAGGTGTATAAATTGGACAGCTAAAGTCCAACTGGCCTTGGGAATGAAACTATCCCACATTCCAGATTTTCAAAGTTTAGACAAATGGGTTGGGTATGGATGGGGGCTGCTTTAATTGACTCAGCATAGAGATGAGATGAGCTAATTTAAACAAAGGCTATTGTGTCTGCTTCTACCACCTCCTCTGGCAACACATTCCAGGCACTTGCCACCCTGTTTAAAAAAAAACTTGCCTCTCACATCTCGTTTAAACTTTCCCTTTTTACTTTAAACCTATGTTCCCCAGTAACTGACATTTCTACCCTGGGAAAAAAAGACTGACTATCCATTCTACCCATGCCTCTCTTAACTTTGTAAACTTCTATCGGGTCGCCCCCTCATCCCTTAACATTCAAGTGAAAATTTTTTCTGAAGAAGGGTCTGAAGACCTGAAACATCAGCCTTCCTGCTCCTCTGATGCTGCTTGGCCTGCTGTGTTCATCCAGCTCTACACCCGGTTATCTCAAGTGAAAACAAGCCAAGTTTGTCCATTTGCAATACAATAGCATTGTTTAAGAGGCACATTGACAGATATATGAATAGTTAGGAAACAGGGGATACAGACTACATAGAGAAAAGACAGTTTTAGTTCAGAAAGGCATCATGTGTTGGCACAGGCTTGGAGGGTTGAAAGGGGTGCTCTTGTGCTGTTCTTTGTTCTTCAGAACTGATTGCAGCTAGGAAAAAGATGTAAATGTGAAATGGATAATGGTGAGCAGGGGAGAAGGAAAAGCTGCTGTTGGGGTCTATTAGTGGGTGACAATGGGTTGGCTGGGGTGAAAGCAGCCCCATGTGACAGCAAGGTCTGGTGTTATGAGGATTGAGTAAGGACATGGAAGAAGGTGCTCATGCCCTAAAACTATTGAACTCAAAACAGAGTCCGGAAGTCCGCAGTGTCCCCAAGCGAAAACAAGGCGCTGTTCTTCTAGCTTGCGCTGAGCTTCACTAGAGGACTGCAACGAGCCCAAGACAGATGTTGGCCAGAGAACACGGTGTTATGTTGAAGTGGCAGGTAACTGGAAGCTCAGGGTCATTTTTGCGGACAAAATGTAGGTGTTCACAAAGCAGCCGTCCCTCTGTGTTTTGTCTTCCTGATGTAGAGCAGACCACATCATGAGCAACAAACGCAGTAGACTAGATTGATTGAAGTGTAGGTAAATCACTGCTTCATCTGGAAAATGTTTTTGGGGCCTTGGATATTGAGGAGAGCACAAGTGAATGGGCAGGTGTTGCACCTTCGCCGGTTACAAGGGAAGGTGCCGTATGGCTGTGGAGAGGTGTTGGGAGTGAAGGAAGTGTGGACCAAGGTGTCCCGGAGGGAACGGTCCCTGCGAAAGGCGGACAAGGGAGGGGAGGGGAGTATGTGTTTGGTGGTGGTATCTCACTGGAGGTGGTGGAAATGGCATCTGATGATCTTCTGGATGTGGACGCAGATGAGGACAAGGGGAACCCATCGCTGTTACGGGAGGGAAGAGAAGGGGTGAGGGCGCAAGTGCAGGAGATGGGTCGGTCCCAGCTGAGGGCCCTGTCGACAACGGTGCTGGGGAACCCTCGGTTGAGGAAAAGGGTGAATATTTCGGAGCCCCCCCACTGGAGGAACAGATGTGATGGAAACAGAGAATTAGCAGCTTTACTTTCTCCCAGGTTGACTATTACCCATTCCTTTTTCTGCCCAACTGCTGTTCTTTCTCTCTCTGGGTCCCAACTCCAACGATCGTTTACTCCTTCCTCTATCCTCTGCCCCACCTTCAGCATATATACCAACGTCTTGAGAGCTACAATCAGTTCTGAAGAAGGGTCACTGGAACTAAAACGTTAACTTTGTTTCTCTCTCCAGATGTTGCCAGACCTGCTGAGTTTCCCCAGCAATTTCGGTTTTTGTTTGGGATTATTAGTCGAGCAGACTAGGTGTTTTTGTTCAGTGTTGTTGACTGCAGTGCTGTTCAGGGAGTGGGGTAGGAGGAAGTTGTTGGGAAGGTGGGGAAGGAATGTGGGGGGAGACGGTTCAGGGGAGGGGAGCAGACAGGGAAGAGCAGGGAACCGGGACCAGGGAGACAGGAGCGGGGAACAGGGCGTGGGAGCACTGACATAAGGTGAACCCACTAGATCCTTCCTGCACTAAGTGCCAGTCAGAGCAATTTCTTACCTTCTGCTTTTGTTTCTTCTTTTGCTTTTTGGAGACTCGGCTGAAGCAGGTGAATGAGCAAATCAGAAAATAAACAAACATATTAAACAATCAGAAAATGAAAAAACATCTCAACCTGAAGATTAATCGATTACAGAACTTTCTATCAGCAACGAGTGAAATTTGAATTCTCGTCTGACAATTTTAGAAAAAAATTACCAATTAATAATCTGGAAACTATTTTCCTAATCACTACACTTCCTGTTTGTTCTATTTCAGGACTTCCCTGCCTGTGCTCAGCTGATTTCCTCCCACCTTGATTTCAGCTGATCATCTCAAAACTCCATGTAAAATGTTGCAGCCGTTGGGTGAAATAACTACACAGGGACCGGGATCTCATCACCAAGACAGTGACTTTTAAAGGGAGCCTTGACAAAAACATGAATAGGATGGGAACAGAGGGATACGGTCCCCGGAAGGTTAGAGGGTTTTAGTTGTGACAGGCAGCATGTCGGTGCAGGCTTGGAGGGCCGAAGGGCTTGTTCCTGTGCTGTAATTTTCTTTGTTCTTTATTTACAAATGCATGGTTTTTGACACTGATCCAGTTCCCTCCGAGCGAACAGAGCCCTTGACACTCCTGTTTGTGTCTGTCAGCCAGGGCTCCCTGATTGGACCAGATTAACAGGTCTGCTGCAAAACAAAACACCTTAAATCTGATGAAAAATTAATAAGTCAGGGGCCATTCATAAGTGAACCAGTAATCCTGTGCCTCTTGTAAATCAGTGCAAGTATCTAGAGGAGGAAGATTGAGAAGCAGTGTCTGATCAGCACAAGAACTATCACAACAAACCCTGTGAACAGGGACCAGTGAACGATGTTTAGTGTGAGTAAGAGTGTGCGAAAGTGTGGGGTGTTTGGTTCTGTGGTGAGAGTGTGGGCATGGGTGCGGGTGTGAGTGTGTTTGGGTGGGTATGGGTGTTTGGTTGTGTGGGTTTGTGTGTGTGTGGTTTATAAGGGTGTTTATAAGGGTGTTTATAAGGGGATTAGCATTTTAATTCCCGGAGACATATAGCAATGATTCATAATTGTTTACCTGCAACTAGAATCTGTTAACCAAGCGCCCACACCCTCTCACACTCTCACCCACACACACACTGCCACAGAACCAAACACCCACACCCACCCAAACACACCCACACCCACAGAACCAAACACCCACACCCACCCAAACACACACTCACACAGAACCAAACACCCACACCCACCCAAACACACCCACACCCTCACCCACAGAACCAAACACCCACACCCACCCAAACACACACACACACCCTCACCCACAGAACCAAACACCCACACCCACCCAAACACACACACACAC